GGATGAATCAGATTCCAGCACAATTCAATGGACGTTTACTTCATTCTGATGAAGATGCCTTATCATCATTTGAAAATGATGATTTTGAATTATTACAATATCGAGCATCAGTTATGAGTATTCTAACTCTTGAAACAACACTTCGTTCTTCTTCAAATTCAAATTTATTTCAACGAAAACGTGCATCAAATACTTTAGTTACATATACAAAATCACCTTGTTCATATAATGATAAATTTATTTTTTTTTTACTAATTGTTTACCAATTGATAATCTTGAACGAATACCATTTAATATAGCAACTGATATAAAACGTGGTACACGTACGAATTTACCTCATATACAAAAATCTCCATATCGAGATAGTTTAAAATTTTTTGAAACATTTAATACAGCTAATACTGTTGATAATAATAATGAAAGTTATTGGAAAATGAATCGTTCATTACGATATGGAGATTTATATGGAATTGATTTTCAAACAATACAAACTAATCGTAATCTTTCTTTTTCTATTCAATATTTACATCGAAAATCTTTACAAAAAAAAATTACAAATTTCAATATCACTTGATACTCAAACATGGATTCAATTTCCTAAAAAATATCAAAAAGGAATTATTTATAAGAAACAAAAAAGTTTAGTCATTTTTCATATACGTTTATTTCCAGATGGTTTTCAAATTTTTCGTTTTTTTAAATTTATGTCATTAATTGATGATGAAAATTCATTTCATATTTGTGAAATACGTTTGATTAATTAAGAAAATTTTTACTAGTCAAAATAAATTTATCAAAACTATCTTAAAAATGAATTAAGTAAAAGACCAATCTTTTTATAAATAACAACAGTAGCTAATTATATCGTGTTTCACATTTTATTCCCATCGGAATAGCACTAACACCTTTTCTTTTTTGTGAGTAATTTCCAAATTGTATCGATGAAATAAATGTTCTTCAATAGTACTTGTTTAATTCTACATAATTAATTGTCGACTTGTAATAATATAGTTCAACATATTTTGAGAAGCTCTTTTTTTTTCTTCCCAGATATTGTGTTAACGATTGTATATGTTGTTTAGTTATTTTATTAGTTTTTGTTTTCTTTTTTTTTTATACATCATCTTTTTCGTTTTTACTTTTCTTCATCAACATTAAAACAAAAAAGTGAAAAATAAAATTAAACACTCACGCACACATACAAACAAAAGAAAAGCGCTTTGACATCATCAATTTTCAAATAGAAACAAAGGTGACAGAACAAAAAAAAAATCTGCTAATACTAATTTGTCTTTGTCGATAATAGAATTGCGCAATTATTTTCTTCAAATCGCTGTGTAGAGATACATAAGATATTCATATCACAGTAACAAAAAAAAAAGAAAAAAAGAAAAATAGAAATAAAAGATCTTATAATATGCGCGACTAGAATCTATTGCATAGAGGGAGAATATGATCATTTAAAAAAAAACAAAAAAACAAACAAATTCTTGACTAGGAATAGATGACAAATTTCCTGAGAGAATTATAAAAATTTTGGCAGGCTAAATGACTCAATTATTATTATTATTATTATTATTATTATACAAATATCCCACCATCAGCATCTTGTGCTCGTTTAAAACTATCCCATAGTGCAACCATTATTTCTCCCATAACAACATCATTTGTATTCATTGCAACAAGACGTAAAACTAGAACACCATCATGTTTTAAATATTTGTTTGAAAATGTATGAAATAATTTTCTATCAAATGATTCACGCGTTATTCGATTCATTATTTTAAGATATTTTTTAAGAAAATGTTCACGATTAAATGGTAAAATTTGTTGCCATATACATATTAGAAAACCATATGATGATAAAATAGAAACAAGGACAAGCCAAAACCATATGAATATAAAAATTTTTTCATTAAATAAATTCACGGGAAGCACGCACTAAAAATCAACAAAGCAAAAAAAAATAAGAGAAATAAATATCAACTGAGGAAGTGTACGCTGATGCATCAAATTGGTGACGGAAATTTTTCAATAACTATTTTTAGTAACAATGACGTCAGCTTAGCAGATCGGCTTATACTTCTAATAGCAGATAATCCATCAATTCGTTTTTTTTATGCATGTTAAAAATAGAAAAAGTTTTTTTTTCAAAACAGAGATTAATCATCAACAATATTTTGTTTGTCTAACATCATTTGTGATCAATTAAAAATTCAATAAGTTAGATGAGTTGCTTATCTATTTAGTCGATTGATTATTCTATTCTTAAATCAAGACATACGTTTGTAATATACCTGTATCGTATGTTTATGTATATGATCAGCCATAGTACGAATTTCAAAGTCACACATTGTAACTCGAGGAAATCGTGCTGAACGACAACATTCACGGCCTGATAATAAATTTCGTAATACTTCAATACCATAACCATGATAATTTGAACCCATAAAAATCTAAATAATAACAAAAAAAAAAAATACAAGAAATCGAAAACAAAAAAAACTAATTTACATTAAGTAAAAATAATTGTCCAATAACATTTGTAATATACAATAATTTAACAAATAAATAGACAAAAGTTAAATAATTGCCTTGAGCACGACCGATAATAAAAAATGGACAATGACGACGTAATATACGTGTAAATTGGGAAAAAAATCCTGTGCCCATTTCACGTTGAATTTCAAGAGCACGATCAATATGTTTAGCTATATATCTGAGTGTACGATCTCGTATATCAGGATTTAATTGTTCCATACTATGTAATGTTTTAACAAGATTAGCTATATCAAAACCTGTCTTTGTGGAAAATGCATGCCATAAAACAGAGGGAATGTAAAAAAGGACAGACATAAGAAGTAATATAAATGGGATCCATTGATAATAGGCTAAAAAATTAAAAATAAGAATAAGAAAAAAAAAATTCAAAGCTAACCAATATGTTTCGGTCGTTCATCATGTCTGGCTGGCAATGTACTTTCAAATGGCACATAATATGTATTAGATATCCAACAGATATAATTGGCATATTCAACATGAGAACCTATGTAATAATAAATTTTTATAAGTAATTTTTTATTTTTAGCAACAAAAAAAGAGCAATTTGAAGATACTAAAAAACAAAAAATTGTATACCACTTTTCTGACTACACTATACTAAGAGCTTATATTTCAGAATATTGAATGAATTGTCTACACAAATATATAAGCTAAAGAATTGACATATTAGAAATGTGTTGTTATATGAGAACACTACTCACTTTCTTTTTTTTTATTCCTTTAAATATTGATTTTTAATTTCTCGTTTATAATTATATACAAATGTTTATTTTATATTTTAAGACCAACAAAAAAAAAACAATACTCAAAAGAATTACTTTTTTCTTTTCAATCTACAATCAATTAAAAAAATTGTTGTTTATTTTTCCTACTTTCTTGATTTTTAGAATTCTTCTTATTAAAATCAAGATTTTCTATCTCATGAGCAACAAAAAAAAAAAAAAACAAATTGATTTTGCTTTTTTAAGAATTTTACCGGTAAATTGTGCAGGAGCAAAACAAGCAATAGGATCACCAACATATTGTTTAGTAGATACAACAACAGTAAATAACATAAGTAAAATGACAGAAAATCGTCGCGATAATCGATCATATAAATCATCATCATTATGAAATCGAAATTGGCGTACTTTGGCGACGGCATCGAGAAAGCCTGCTACCATGCTAGAAAATAAGATAACAAATAAGAAAATATATTAGATATTAAAATGAATTCTTAAACTCACTGATCAATATGTTCATCATATTGATGAAGATGTAGTAAAACCTCAGAGAATGTCATGGTATATAGGGAAATATTTTATCATTATTATTATTATTGTTTTTCTTTTCTTTTTTCTTGTGAAAAGAAAAGGTATTCTATAAAGATTTGGATAGAATGATAATGGCCAGAAGGAAATAAATTTTTTTGCTTGAATACACATTGAAACAATAGAAAAAGACTGTATAGAATAATTAATATTATTCCCATTTGATTATGATCTTTTAAGAATAGAGAAAAAAAAAGTTCTTAGTATGTTCTCATAACTCATATTCGTGTTTGTTTTTTTTTTCTAAAATGAAAAATAAACGTTTACCGAAAATGTTGTCGTACAGGATCATAATGATCGATTGTCATCGTTTTTATTATAAAAATCTAGATAATGATTGCTTTTCTTCTTTTTTTTTTTTGTTTTATAAAGTTTAGGCGAAATGAGAAAAAAAAAGGGGGAAAATCAAAACACGTACATATTTTAAAATACATGATAATTGAGTTTTCTTTAATATATGAAAAAAAAAAATTATCTATTGAATTTTTATTAGATATTAGAGATGCAAACATACTTAAAAATTCTATAACAATTTTATATATATATATATTCATATAGGAAAAAAGAAAAATATTTATACAATTGTTAACATTCATTTTGTTTTAATATTCGGATAAAATTTACTATATGAATCGATTTTAAAAGAAATCAATAGATAATTAGTTGTCTTAATTGAACGACAAAAAAAAAACTAGATTGACTATTTTTCAGGTAAAACTCACTCAGTAATATCAATGATTTTTCAATAAGCTTATCGACAAATTGTGCAATTGAATTCATAAAATTCAATTAATATGATTAAGCCATAATAAATCATAAGACTCGAAGCTATAGACTGACAAGATGAAAATAAGAAGAAAAATATTCTTATTCGAACTTCTATATAGTAACTGCATGTAAAGTGAAATTGAATGAACTGATTCAACTCTGATATGAGCAAAATCAACTCGATAAGCTTTGTTTTTTGTTTTTTTTTTATTTCGAATAATCTTTAACTCTACATAGCAATTCTAAATGAGCTATTCATAAAATAATCTAATAAATAGAGTAATACCCTTTCTAATATATCAATGATATAGTTAAATTTACTAGATATCCAACTCTTAGAATCAAATGATTTTAGTTACTCTAGTCATCATATCGTAGTAAATAGGAATTGAACGACATGAGAGGTGCTGATTTTCTTTTTTTTTTTGTTTTGCATGACAATATTGACTAGGTAAAAGCAGCTTACATGCCATGATATTGGAATAATAGGAAAAAAAACAGGAAAGAGTAAATCAGTAAAAAAAGAAACTCATGTTGAAACAAAACATGTTTTTCATCTATATTGTTAATTGATCATCTCTAGTTCTTTTTAAAACATTACAAAATATTCTAATCATTCAACTCGTTATATAATGATGTTTATAAAATATATATATATATATTATCTTTATTTTTGATTGTTTTCTGTCTGTCCTATAGAGTAATAAGTTTCTTTATCAATCTATATTACACAATAAGCATCAAAGATCTATATTATTTGAAGGTAGAGAATATTTTGTTTATATATAATAATATTTATTCTTTTTTAAAATTTGATATTTGGACGATGGATAAAGTATTTATATTAGTTAATCGATAATTTATCAAATTTATTATATAACATTCTTTTGAAGATTTAGAATTATCATGCATCGTTTAGTTTTTATGATCGATCTATAAATGGTCACTCTAATGAGTGATGGACTGTAAACGAATTAATCCAATATATCTCCCATAGAATGTAAGTGAATCTTTGAATAGTATTTTCTTTTTTTTTGTGTCTATAAGATTTAGAATTAGCTCTATTCATTAGAAAGTTGGATAAGTCCATTCTATTTCAATTCTAGTACTATCAATACTTCTGCGTGATTCTATGTTAGGTATTTTAATTAGGATCATAACATATATGGAACTATGGAAAGCTCTTTTTTTTTTCTTTATATTTTTAGCTTAGTATATTTTTGAATTCTATGTTATGTCAAAATAATCTCTTTTTTTTTGTGTACTGCTAAAATTAATGAATGAAAGAAGAAAAAAAGTATTTTCTTTAACGATGCTTTCGAATTCATATTTTTTTTTTGTGTGTTTGACATACAGAATATGTATTATAGTTAATCCAAAAAAAGAAAATCGGATCTCTTTTTATTTAATCTTGATGATTCAATATTAGTTATTCTTACCTTTGTTAATTTCTAATTAAATTTTCTTTTGACAATGAAAGTAAATCTATTTTCTTTTCTTCTTCTTCTTCTTCTACTATCGATCAATGATGATTTATGTTTTTTTACTTTCTTTCGACATATGCCGTTATATATTTCCTTTATTCAATCAAATCAAAAATTATTTTCATCAATTCTTCAACATCTTTTTTTTTTTTCTATTTTTAATTTCATATTCATACGTTTTGCATTATAAATTTCAATTATCATCCAAAAATAATCAATAAAAATAAATGTTTTCAGTGTTTTGTTTTTTCTAATACCTTATTTCAATATAGTCTGTTTTTCTTGAAGGACAAAACAAAGATATGTCTACATGCAAAATTAAATATATTATCTAGGGAAATATTAGTTAAACTATAAGAAAAATCATTGATATTAAACATACTTATTTCCCATGAAAGAATAAACAGGAACATTTACCTGTGAAAACTGTAAAGCATGATGATAAATTTGTAAAAATAATTCTTCTAAGCAATGATCATTCGTAATAAATGTACTCATTTATCAATAGAATGAACGTGAGAACAACTCAATCCTATTGTTTGTCTGTTCTATTTTTTTTTTTTGCTTCTCAGGATGCATATATTGTTCCGTGTGCTATTACCAATGTCATTCATCTCGTGTAGTAGCATACGCTATAAGAGTAAGAGACAAAGTCATTCTTATTCTAGCACTATATAAGCACGATGATTGGATCCAACCTACTAGGTCTTTCTTTTTTCTCTCTCTCCCCCTTTTTTTTTGTCTTGCTTTGTCAACTAACGATGAAGAAAATCTATTTATGCCATTTTCTGTTTTCATTATTAAGAAAAAACTTATTCTCTATCAATGGAATTATATTAATAAATAAAGATATTCAATGAGAGAAACAGAAATAGATAGTCAAGAGAGGTAGATCTTTCCTTAATAACAATATTCTGTTTTAGGACAAACAGAAAAGATAGCATTGATAAGAACAACATCTTGTGACATTAGAAAATGAAATAGAATAGAATAGAGAAGATTTTAGTAACAACTGTCAAGTTTTTTTTTTTTTTTTTGAGTTAGAACATGCTGTGAAAGTGTATGACATAGAAGCAAATGACAAATAGCTTAACAAAAGTTTCTCCGTTGATGTCATTTTGATAGACAGATAATCTAAGATAGACAAAAAAAAAAAGGTAATTTTTTTTTTGCTACATATGTCAACAATCACGTGTTTGTTTGTTTTTTTCACTAAAATTTTATATCGATTTGATAAAAGACAAAATTATTCAATGATCTATTATGGAATAGAATAAAAGGAAGAAGTGAACATCAGCATTCAATATTAAATTTCCTTCAAAATAGATCGAATGAAACGTGCAAATCAAAACTTAATTATAAATAGATATTAATAAAGTTATTTCTTTTTAGATTTGATTTTATTTCTATGAGTTGAGAAATTCTTCGAATATAAGCAAATTTATTTATTAATATATTTCAAAAGCTATTAAATGTGTCAACAAATTATGTCATGGAATAAATCCCATAAGAATAACATAGGAATTTATTAAGTTAGAGAACATATTTTATTTATTTTCTAGATTAAAAAGATTATAACATTGTTCTCTATAGATCTTTTATTTAACCGCAAGAAAAAAAAAAAGATTATATTCTTACATATTTATGAAATAGTTAAAATTCTATCTCTTTTGTTTAGATTTATTGATGAAAAAAAAAAAAAAAAAATCTCAACAAATAAATTAACTTACTTAGTAAATATTGCATTAATAAAATAAATAAGAAACCTGTTTTTTTTTCTTCTTTCTTTGTATTAGTTAGATTGAACTTCTATTTCTTATAAAAACAGTTTTATGAATGTAACCGTTGTTTAAATAGATAGTGATCTTTCGTTATGATGTCTTTTTCTTTTGTCTCTGCCGATATTTCCTGTACTGTCGCCGCTCATCAACAATAAAGAGTAAGAAAAAAAAAAAGTTGATAACGACCTAATTACTAAAATGTTCCTGCTCATCAATTGTTCAGTTCATTGGTGAAAAATGGAATATTATAGTTTGACTTGGCATTTCTTTCTTTTTTTTTTGCTTCTTCTCATTATGTCGAGTGACATTTCTTTGTTCAACATAATTAACGGAATAAAAAAAATTTCAAATGTAAGAGCAAAAAAAAAAACGGTACTCACACTGACGTTCGAGCCGAAAGTGAATGCATCTTTCTTTAGTTTATCTTCTTAATAAAAAGTTACTTTAATAATAATATCGTTCCATCATTGATTTATCTTTTTTAATCTTACTATTGCTAGAAAATAGCGATAGCGACGACGCCAACATCGATTGTTGCTGATGAGTGAAAATGATGTGGCAAAAATCACAGACAACTGCACATACTCGTTCGAAACACCCTTGGCTAGTAATATTGTTATGACACATGTGAAAAGAAAGATTTGCCTATGCTCTTGCCGTCGAACGTCGTCCAAAGAAAACACTAGCATATTTTCCTTCTTTTTTTTTTTTTTGTTCTTTTTTTTTTTTTGGTTTGTCGTCATTTTTCTACAGCTATTATATGAAGAAAGATAGAAGCATACATAAAGAAATAACAGCAAAGATTACTTGCTTTCTTCTTTTTTCTTCTATCATGCTTTCATGCTCGTTTTTTTTCCTATATTTCTAATCGAATGTTATTGTTGAACATAACAAAAAAAAAGAAAACGACGACTGATCGTAGTTCGGAGACCATATACAAGTATTTTACCGGAAACATAAATGATTCTTTTGGTTTATGTATTTTTCATATGTCAATCATTAACTTCCGTTCTTTTTTTTTTTTTCTTTAACTTACCTGTCTCCTCCACTAATGAACTCGCCAACTTTAAGATCGTGTAATTTACTTGGTCGAAGTTCAAGATCAAAATGTTCAATACGATCTGGTTCTTCGTGTCCTCGTTTACCAACAGAACCACTTAATTGTTTTGTTCGAAGATTAGAGATACTAGTTAAACTAGAATAATAATATACTAAAATATATTAATTAATAATTTATTTTTAATATAATTTTACCGCTGGATTTCAGCTCGTTTTTGGCGAGGAGCCTTATTCATTAGCTCTAAATAAACAAAATCAAAATATTATTAGTCAACAAGAAGAATTATATTGAAATATTCAAAAGATATACATAGACATTCTTAATACGTTCAATCAAGATTCTTTTCTAATATATATTTTTATATCATTGTAAACTAGTATTCATAAATATATATATATATCATCCCTAAATATTTTTAAATCTACTATAATATAGTAGAATTTACAAATTTCGATATACAATCTACAAGAATAATTTATGTTTATTTTCTTGTATTGTTCTTACTTGTCCATGCCATTTATGATCAGCAAAAAAAAAAGAAAGGATATTTGTGCAATCTTTCTTCTTCTTTTTGATGAATTATAACGTATAAAAACAAAAAAATATGAACGAATAAATAATATGAAAAGCAAAATGACTCTCATATATATAAATGAGTGAATTAGTAGATAAATGCCATTTTTTTCTGAATCAAATTATACAATTCTTGTTTTTTAACTAAATGAAACTAACCCACTTAGAGTTTTGAATGATGCAAATTCGATTATATAATCTATACTGATAGTATATTAAATACTTTGCAAGATGAAAAAAAAAAAGAAGAGAATTTCGATCTATTATAATAAGTAATCGATCAAGATAGAGAACAGATACATATATATCAATGCAAAGTTTATGATTTTGATTTAAAGATATTCCTCGAAGCAATATTATTTACGTAATGTTATAAATCTATATATATATTTTCTAAATGTAATTCAATAGTTTTATATTCTATAACATATTACAATTCTATCACTATAATATTAAAACATCATAAGATAAAAATCTAGTATAGAATTGATCTAATTCTCTAGTGCGCATATATTGTAAATATTATCTTTTACTAGAATGAAAACATCTGAGAAAAGAAATATTCCTTTAGGGAATCAAAAACAAAAAAAAAAAGAATTTATTTAACATGTTTTTATACTTATATTCATCAATGTTAATCTCACCTCAAACGAAATGATGTGAAAACCATCTTTGTTTATCATTTGTTGCTCGTATACACCGATCAATTATTCAAATAAAATAAATAATTACAGTCTTTTGTCTTTACTGTTTTTCTTTTTTTGTTCTGACTGATTAATCAATATAGATGATGACCATCACTTTGACATGAAAACTATTATATACAATTCCCCCTTTTTTTTTTTTCTTTTCATTGATTATACCCGAGAAAAATCTCGTTTTTTTTTTTTTTTTTATATAAATTTATTCATCATTAAATCTCGGACGCGATAATATATAATTAATCTCGCGTTTTTTCTTCTTCTTTTTTTTTACCTTATAAAAACAAATCATTAGGTACAATCGTTCGATGTCCATCAATACTATTCCAATCGACTTCAAGTGGTTTTTTCAGTTCACCCCACTATATATATATATATGCAATTTCAATTGAACAAGAATACTGGATACCATTGAAATGGAACAAGGCTCTCGTTTTACGTCTCTATAGACCATGAATGACATTATGAGTGGGTCGCAAACACTTCGCTTTCCATTTTCACATTCTCAAGGATATTTTCTCGTTCGTTTCTTCATGTTGTTTCATCTTTTCTCTTTAATCGATCATTTTTCAGTGAGTATGCGCAGAAAAAAAAAAGGTGGCTTCGAACGATAGTATCATGAACTATTGTATGCATTCATTATCAACAAGATTTTCCTATTCTTTCTTTTTTTTTTATTTTTTATCATTATTTGGTTAGCGATGTGGTTTTCAATGTTTTCTCTTTCTTTCTTGCTCATTTTTTCTTTTTTTTTTTGCTCATATAATCATTAACTGCTAGTTACAATGTTTATTGCGGTTTCTTTCTCGTTCGTCTTCATTTTATGATTACCGTTAGTATGATCTTAGTAGCATACTGAGAAGGGAGAAAAAAAAAAAAAGGGAAAATAAAAAACAGAGACCGAGTACAAATACATTGGTTCTGCTTCGAAATTTCAGCACGATCGGTAAAAGACGAGTATGCTTATATTTTTTATTATTACGGTATACGACTAAATCATTATATATATTTTAAATGGTAACGATCAATAAACATACCTTTTGTAATAATCTGTAGGCGTAGAAAGAATAACAATTTCATATCGGCCTCATGCTCAAGTTTCTTTTTTTTTTTCTCTGTCAACAATCAATCATTATCATGATCAGGTAGATGCATATAAATAAGACAAGATATTAATAAAAAAAAAAAAGAAAAGAAACGAATAAAAATTAATTAAGTTGTTCCACGTAAATTTTGAAAATAATATTGTTTGTGAATGTTGCTGTTGTTGTTGTTTATCAAAAAAAACACATAAAGAAAATGAATATCTACAAGGATTGATTATGTTGTTCTATTATTAGTAATAGTAGTATTGGTATCATCTAATTGCATGAATATAATTGCTCATCCTTGTTTTTAGCTCGTATGCGTGTGTGCACATGCAGATACTCTCATTTATTTTTTTTTTGCTATCGCCGAACGAACGAACAAACATCAGATAGACATAGACAACAAAAAAAAAGAAGAAGAAAAAGTATTATTTGGATAAAAATCTCCAAAAAAAAAAGGAACGTTGTCGTTGTTAGCGATGCCAATTCTTATCTGCTCACATCTACAAATGAGAAGCAATGAACAACCGCGTTTCTTATTATGTTGTGGTTTTATGTAACTATTCATCATCATCATCATCATCTTAAAAAAGAATGAATTCAATCTTTCACATATTATCTCTTCCTTCCGGATTTGATCTGACTAGGTCACTATTATTTCCAATGAAGAAAATACGACATACTCGTTTCAATTTTTTTTTTAATACTAAATATATATCTTAAAAAAAAAAAAAAAGATTCTAATAATTTTAACAAACAATTACTACTAATCGGAATGGCGTGATAGCCAATTCATAAGAAATGCAAACATTCATACGTAAAACCTTCTGCTTCATAGAATACAAAGAATAACTATAGCAAAAAAAAGAAAATACTAATAAGAGCAAATTCGTTTCTTTTTCTTCTTCTATCGTCTAGATAATTCAACTAAATTATATTTGTCTGAGATCAACAGCGAAAATATATTTAAAGCTGTTTAGTAAAATATAAAATAGACGAATGTGAACGATCGATCCGGAAACCGAATCGTTAAACTACTATCAACAAAATCATTACTAAATCTCATAGGACCAGCTAGTATTATCTTCACGCTCGTACATTTATAAATAAAAAAAAAAAAAAAGAAGAGTGAACAAGAGCATAACAACTATTTAAGTTAATCAAACAATAATAAAAGGAGTTATGTCTTCATTCCCAGTAGAATTGAAAGATAACACGCTCTATATGACATACAATATTATTAATTGAATATGTTGATCTTTCTATTTTTTTCTTTTTTTTTAAAGAAAAAATAAATCTCAACTGTTCTAAAACATGCCTTACTATTTGTTTGGAATCTCAATATGCGTCGAATTATTTTTATTTTCCATGACATTGCATATAAACTAATCCTATAGAGAAACGACTTCAGTAGTAACTATACTGGCGTAAAATGTCATTTAGATATATATATATAGATATAGATATGTATGCCAATCATCTATTAAGCTCCTCTAAGCAGATTTTAAAAGAAAGAAAAAGGAAAATTAATAAGCAGCTATTCTTTATTTGGTGATACCCTCTAGTTTTTTTTTAATCCATCAAGGAAGCTTTTACAAAAATATCTTTGGTTAAATTGGTAAAATGAAACACAAAAAAAAAACTTCTTATGACTATTTGTTTGTGATGCAATAGACAGATATAATAATCATGTAAAAGTTATAACAAAATTAATCATACACGATTTATATATGACAGTAGAAGTTAAGTCGAATATTAATTGAGTTAGACATATACATAAACGTATATGTATCATGTCATGCAAGTTTTTGTTCTTAAATATCAAAGACAAAAGAATATTCTCAGAAATTTTTTTTTTATGTTTATTTTTGTGATATTGAATATGAGATAGACATAAACCATTAACTAACAATAGATCTTTCGAAAAGTAGAGAAAAAAAAAAGAAATTCTTATGTGTCGAGAGCTTGTTATGTTAACAGTTTGTCAGTAAGAGCATCAGAAGTCAACGTTATTAACGTCAGAGTGTGCTGTCGATTATTGTGTACATTTATATATATATATATGACTGTGTTGAAAAAACAGATAAGCAAGATAGACAAAAGAAAAAAGAATGTGTATCTTATTATTCTGTTAATTGTATCAATAGTAAATGCACAAGAACTGATGGTTTAAATTATGTTCTAACTGTTACTGCCCTTTACTATCAGTAGATGTTCAAAATAACAGTTCGATTTTTGTATATCTATACAATAGAAAGAAAAAGGTCATTGCTATTGTTCTGACAACTCTCAAATGCTGATTAATTGAATATTGTCAAGTTAATATGAATATTAGAATTTAAAAAATCATTCATATTATACACAAAATATAGTTTAAACATTTGTAATTGTTCTCTTGAATAGAAAAGAAAAAAAAAAGAAATGACTAAATTATAGAGAATGACACAATAAACATTAATCATTAGGACAATAAGAATGTTCTTTATCACCGTTTCTCTTTCTTCTTCATCTCGAGAATGACACGTTTGGGAAATTAAGAGAAAGGAAGAAGACAGCTATATGAGTGAAAAGTTCATCAATAACTTGAAGCAATCAAGCGCAAACAAGGAAAAAAGAAGAACAGAAGAACCGAACATATTGTAAAAAAAGAAAGCCGCTAGGCTAAATTACACCATCGTTTCTTTTTCTTATTAAATCATTATTATTCCATGTTTTTTTTTTCAGGTATGGATTACATAGAAGAAGAAACTAACTAACTTGCCAGTGGGTTCTAATCGGAAAAGGCATAATAAAAAAAAAAAAAAACGAATTTAGTACCATGAAAATCTACTAATTGGAAGTCACTAGTTAAATATTAAAAGGCTAATCAAGCG